AAAAAAAAAAAAAAAAAAAAAAAAAAAAAAAAAAATGTGTAAATATTAACACAGAGTTTAGCCTCACAAAGAGAAGTAAGTTCTATGTTAATGTAAACACACTTGTATTTGTCTTGTTTCTTTGAAATGAATATGATAATTAGATAAATATATACAACATAGATAGGGTAAGTGTGCCTAAGTTCGGCATGTCCCAGTAGTCGGCACTTTTTATTTTTAAGCCCAAATAAATGAAACTATTATAACTAAATGTATTTTGTTTACTTCAAGTATATTTTCAGCTATCTTTGTGTACAATTTTGCTAAGAAATGATGATTTATTCTAATAAAAATAAAAATTTTGTCTGTGAAGGTCCTCAACAATCCATATTCTTAAGAAAAGTACAATAAAGACGTCGAATCAGTTTAACTAAACAAAAATATTATATTTTAATGAATTAATTTATTATTATTATTAATTATTCTTTCAAAAAAAATCGGTATGCTGACTGTTGGAACATGCCATACCGACAATTGGCAAGTGGTGCCGACTACTGGCAAAAAGGCATTGTTTTAATAAAACTAAAAATTTATGAAATTTAATAAAAAGTTATTAAAACTTTATTTATTATTACAAAAACTATACAAAATTTCGAATCTGAATAAATTAACTTTGCAATAATTGAAAAGTTCCACTCAGAATGTTGAGCGATTAAAAAAGCGAAAATCCTAAAAGTGCCGACTACTGGTACACTTACCCTATTTGTTTAGAATGATATGTAGGAAATTCCTTAAATTGGCAAAAAAATCTTTAGGACTAGATATTTAAATGACAAATATTTAAATATTTGATAGGTTGGACAGCTGGCCAGTAATGGAGGACTAAACTGGAGTCTATACTGGATAAATGGATATGGATTCTTTATTTAAGTGTCATAGTAATTTATGCTCGAACTACCATATTTACTATTTTATTTCTTCCTTGGACACCTAAAAGTATGCACTTTTTAAGAGAATGTTTTTAGAGAACTCTTTTTGTCAGAGGATTTTCAATGAATTTTAGGTTGAACTCCAACAATCTTTATTTGTGCCTTAAAAAGGATTTTTAAACATTTTCAGTTTCGTTTAAAAAAAGATAGTTTAAAGCCCGAACGATGAGCCACATTATGAATAATGAACACTACATAAATTGATATATAGATGGCGTTTGTTTCCATTTTATCAAAATTCTGATCAGAGTTTTTCGTGACTTGTCATATGATAATACTAAATAAACACAGTCACCAAGTTGTTCCACAATATAATGCATAGATGGCGCCCTTTATAATAAAATAATGGAAATATTGAATTCATTTTATTTTTATGAACACAATTTTTTTACTTTACTTTATTTAAATATGTTTCGAAGTATGTACAAGGCTAAACATTTTGTTAGGGAGCAACCTTTTCACCCAAATTTAAAATTTAATTGAAGCACAGATGGCGTTTTTCTTAAGGATGTCAATACTAGATAACCACTGTCCCAAGTTGACTCATAACGTAACGCATAGATGACGTCCCTTACAATAATGTCATGGATACATTGAATTCTTTTTATGAAACAGATGACGCTTCTCTTAAGGTTGCCAAGAAAATATTTAAACCTCATAAGCCACTGATTTTTCTTACCAGGAACATTTGACATTTGGGAATGATAAAATAAGGGTCAAGAAAAGTGCACAGGATAGCCAATAATATATGGAGCGTTCATTCTAATAATGTTATGGAAATTCACGATTCTGTTTATTTTTATGGCCCCTCCAATTTGTAAATAAGAGATTTTGACGTTTTTATTTATCAGTTTCTATTTAAAAAAATATGCTCCGGAGCCATTGTGTGTGCCAAGGTAACAATTCCAGAAAAATTGTTCCAAGTTTCCCAAAAAATATTTAAATTAAATGTAGATGGCGTTGCGTATTACAATGCTATGTAAATATTTTAACCTTCTTGAGGCAGGAATATTTTAATCAAAGAATGCATTTTGCAAGTTCCTACTATTGTCAATTTAATAAGCCAGTTTTATTCTTTACTCAACTCTTTTCATCCGTATAAAAAAATTGTTGGAGATCCAATTTTGAGTAAAATTAAAAAAGATTCGTCGCAACATGCTTAAAAGTCGACTGTTGCTAAGCAAAAGTCTGAAAAGTGAAAATCCATGCTGTTTTTAAATTCAAAATTTTAATTAATTTATAGGTGTTCTTTTACAGATTAAAATAACACAGAAACTGATGTATAGATGACGTTATTCATTAAAAAGCGTGAACTGAATCCAAACGTGATCTTTTTTTAAATTTTAAATATTGAAAGATTAAATTTTATTTCTATTTGAAATGTTTTTTGAAGGAATGTGATATTAATTTTTGGAAATCTGAATCATTTTTGAGGTGTTTTTTAATATTGGATTTTTTTTAGAATATTTCTGAAGAACCATAATCGTTTACTTTAGAAATACTTTTATGGATTAAGTTTTTATAATTGATTTAAAGATAGCATTTCCTTGGCAACTAAAATCACATCAACTGAGGTATAGATGGTGCTATTTATTAAAAAAAAAATAATTTTCAGATTCCAATCGTGATCCTTTTTTTAATATTTTGATACATTTTAATATCTTTCTTTCCAGAATTTTGTGAATTATATTTAGATTTATTTTTCTGACGGATGTTTTAAAAGATTTTTCAAAATATTTAATAGACTAATAAAGGATAATAGTCGCTAATTTTTTAAATATTTTGAAATGATTTCTAAAAATTCTTTGATGGTCTATAATCGTTAATATTAATTTATTTTTTGAAGAATTGTATTCATGGATTTTTAAAAAATTATTAAAAATAGCAAATATCTCGGTTTTTTTCTTTAAATTTCAGATTTGCGATAGTATGAGGGTTACTATGGTGAATCTTTAATATTACCATCAATTATTAAATAAAAGGTCAATTAAAGCTACGAGTATTTCTGTTTCTGTTGCTTTTCTCAATAAAAAATTTTCCCAGTCGAAAACAGTCGAAATATCGGAAAATAAAAATAAAACACTGATTTTTTCAATTGACCTTAAGCCAAATTAAAGTTAATAAGTGTTATCTCCGCAGCAAAGTATTCACATCACTTTCGTATTTTTTTTACTTCTAGAGGGCGTTTGTTATAAAATACAGTACTGTACTGAGGATTGTTTTGAAGGCCTATAATCGAGTTTGTTTTTATATTTTTTTAAAAAAACTTTAATCGTGGTTTTATGAAGAACTATTTAACTAATAATTGTAAATTTTTTGAATAAAATACTGCAAAGGCTTTCAGTTATCTACAGCCAGATGTTCGTTATAAAATACAGAGCTGCACTTTTAATATTGAATGCACTACTTTTTCTTAAACAAATTAAAATTTTTACGCTTTGAAATCATGGTCACTTTTTAAATTACTAACATTTTTCCCGCATCAAAGTATGCACCGTATACCTCAGATAAATACTTGTTCGCGAAATATTTACATCTAGAGGGCGTTCTTTAGAACATGCAATGGTGTGTTGAGAGTAAATTTTTCTTGGATTTGTTTTACAGATTTTTCGTGGATTTTTAAAATCCTATAGACTTCCAAATATCTACATCAAGATGGTTATTCTTATAACCTATAAAACTGTTCTGAGGGTTATTTTTTCGTGTAATTTTATATATACTTTAAAGAAGCTTTTAAATTGTTTTCAAAGGACTTTTCAATCTATATTTGTGTTTTTCTTTTCTTTCTTTTTTTAAGGACTATCACCAATAATTGCAAAGTGTTGTGAAAATAGTGGAATAGATTTTTTAAAGAACGAATCCAATTTTCTGATTTTCATGTTGTTTTTTATTTTTTTTTAAACATTTCATTTTTATTATTTTTTTCTAATTTAATTTTTTTATTTTTTTTATTTTTATTCATTTTATAATGTCATTCAGAGCTGTAACTGCTGTACTGAAGTGTTCTCCCGCCCCAAAGTAATTTTGATAATCAGTATATTTTGATAATTGCAGATAAATACTTTTTCGACATCTAGACGGCGCACCTTTGAACAAAGAGTTTAGCACTGAGGAGTATTTTTTGTAGATGTTTTCAGTAGATTTTTTAAACTTTTTTAAAGAAATATAATTCTTTTTTAAAACTTTTTAAAATATTTTTTAAATGACTATCGATACAATTTTAAATATATTTTTTCTAGGGCTATTATTTATAAGAGTGAGTTTTTTAAATTCAATGGCATATTCCTCCAGCCTCAAACAATGCCCATAAAAATATGCGACACATTAGTTGAACACTCGTTCGACATCTAAATGGAGCTCATTAGAGCAAAAGGTACTGCACGGGGGGATATTTTTATAGATTTTCTTAAATATTTATTCAAGCATTTTATTCGAATATATATATATATATATATTTTTAAATTTTTTGAAGGACAGGTCAATTCAATGATTTTAGATTTTTATTTTATGAAGACTTTTTAAAATATTTTTTAAAGGTTTTTTTTTTTTTAATATTTTTTTGGGGAATGTGATTGAAACTTTTCGATGACTTCGAATGCCAATATAATTGTTGACGCTTTTTTAAATGCTGTTGTTTCTCCCGCCTCAAAGTATGCCCAATAAAATATACGACATCTAATATAACTATCCGTTTGACAAATAGGTGGCGCTCATTTGGAACACAGAGTATTGTTTTCGATGTTATTATTTCGTAGACATATTTTACATATCAAAATATTCGACATCTCAAATAAATTCATGTTCCCCAAAATATCAACAACCAGACGGCGCTCTTCAAAATATACAATAGTGTACTGAGTGTTATTAAAATTTTAATTTTACATCTCTGGCATCATTAGTGATTCATTTTAAGCTTTCGAAGTTTTTTTTTTCGAGGTTAATGATTATTTCCAACTTTTTTTACACAATTTTTTACAATTTTTTTTTATTTCACAAAAAAAAACGAAATTGCTATAATTATCTTGTACTTACTTATGAATTTAACTTTCTTCGATAACCTTGGTTGTTTTGAGCGTATTTTGTTAGCTTTTTTAATTGGTGCTTGTCTCCTTGATACTGTTTGGAGGAGGAGGAGGATTTCATGGTTGGTTGGTTACACATTTTGTGTGTGTGTGCGTGTGGTGTGTTTATAAATATTTTTGTATTTTTTTTATCAAGAAAATAAACACCAAAAAATTTTTTGGACGAAGAGCAAAAAAAAATCACAAATATTAAGAGAAGAAGAACGAGAAAAAAGAGAAGAGAGACAAAAATATGTGTGGTTAGTTAATACATTTATTACATACATATGTAAATGGTTATATACATAATTTACAACGTGTATTTTTTTAAAAGACTTTAAATTGGAATTTATAAAAATTTTTGGGTTAGCAGCAAAAACCATTATTTTCTTCGAGGGAGAAAAAAATTAGAGTTGGACCTTTTTCAAGGCTGGATTAAAAAAAAATGCTTCGTTCAAAGCAAAAACCATTATTTTTTTTAGGAAGAAAATTACAGTTGGACCTTTTCCAAGGCTAGAATTAAAAAAAAGTTCGTTGGAAACAAAACCATTATTTTTTTTCCTGGAGGGAAAATTACAGTGGGACCTTGAAACATGAAAAAAATCGTATTAAGTTGGTTGTTAGATATGAAAAAATTAACATTTTTTTATTTATTTATTATTTTTTATTTATTTATTATTTTTTTTTTTAATTTTATTTTTTTTTTATATTTTTATTTATTTATTTTTTTAAATTATACCCTCAGCAATATGGCAAGAGAGGGTATATATCATTTGATACGGCCGAATAGTGCCTCATCGATATAACGATTTTAGACCCTAGGTCTCTTTGGACCAAATCCGTTTCAGGACATTTGGAGTCGGCCTAGCGATGTCCGTCGTTCCGTCCCTCTGGCTACGATAACTCTCGGAGTATCCGATTTGATCCAAACTTGGAACATCGTAATTTTATTCTCAAACTTGGACGAGTTCCTTTGGAACGATCCGATTCTGCACAAATCCTAGTATTTGCATCCGTCGTCTGTCTGTTTGGCACAGGATAATTCTCGAAGAGAGTATCCGATTTGACCCAAACTTAATACATCGTAGTATTATTCTCAAACTTAGATCGAGTTCGGAGATGGGCAATATCATTCCGCTCCTTCTGATACCTCCCCCAAAAAATGTGGAAATTTTAAAAAAATATATTTTCTGCACCGAAAGAGAAACGATAATTTTATTTTGCTTCAACTTTCCAAATCCTAGTATTCGCATCAGTGCTAGGTCAGGTGAGAAAATGGACAATATCCGTGCACTCCTTTTGGAATCTCCCCCACATAAAGTTGACATTTTCAAATTTTTTACAGCACAGAAAGAGAAAGGATGATCCGAAATTGCTCCAACCTTGCACATCCTAATATTTGCATTAGTGCTATGTCAGATGCGAAAATGGACAATATCGATTCACTCCATCAAGTACCAGTCCCACAAAGGATCAACATTTTGAATAATTATAACTCTTATAAAATATGATGTAAAATTCCGATTGTCTTCGAATTTCACACATCACAATATTTTTATTAAGCCAAGGTCTAGTATTAAGATGGGATATATCGGTTCACTACTTCTGGTACCTGCCCCACAAAATGGTCCACATTTTCAATATCCATAGAGCTCCTAAAAGTGTGAAATTAAAATCCGATTCCATTCAAACTTGGCTCATCTCAATATTTCCATCAACACAAGATCTGTTATAAAGATGGTAGAGATCGAAGCATTCCTTCTGGTACCTCCCACACAAAGGGTCAAAGTTTTGAATAACCAAAAACGATTATAAAATCTCTTCATATTTTGCACATCCCATTATTTCTACTAAAACAAGGTATGCTGTGAAGATGGTAGAGATCTGAGCATTCCTTCTGATACCTCCCCCACAAAGGGTCAAAATTTTGAATATCCATGAAATTCATATCACGATTTTAACATTCGAATCCATTAAGACTTGGCACATCTCAATATTTCCATCAACACAAGATCTGTTAAAAATATAGCAGAGAGCGGACAATTCCTTCTGGTACCTCCCCCTCAAAAGACCAAAGGTTTGAATAACCAAAACGTTTATAAAATCCGAAATAAGCATCAGGTTCTCTTTATATTTAACACATCCTATTATTTCCACTAGCACAAGATCTGCTGTGAAGGTGGGATATTTCGGTCAATTGCTGCTGATACCTCCCCCCACAAATGGTCAAAATTTTTAATATCCTTGAAGCTCATAAAGTGGTACATATCAATATTTCCATGGACACAATATCTGCTGAGAAGAAGGTAGAGATCGGACCATTCCCTCTGGTACTTCCTTCAAAAAGGGTGAAAGTTTTGAATAATCAAAACGATTATAAAATCCGAAATAAGCATCCGGTTCTCCTTATATTTCACACATCCCATAATTTCTACTAGCACAAGGTCTGATGTGAAGATGGCATATTTCGGTCAATTGTTGCTGATACCTCCCCCCACAAAGTGTCACCATTTTTTATAATTTTATCTGGCATAACTTGCGAGACAAGTCAGCGATTCTTTACAACTTCCTATATCTAAATATTTCATTCAACCAGAAACCTGAGACAAATATAGAACTTATCGGAATTTATGATTCCGCATAAAATTCGACATAAATGTTCGATTTTCTTGTAATTTTGCCCTTGCCAATATTTTTACCTCTTTCAGATAAAGTGTGAAAATGGAATACTTTAGTCGAGAGGTGTATGGTACCGCACGCACATTTTAAGATTTTTAAAAAATTATCACACATCTCATATAAGGCGAAGGAAGTAATCGATATAGTCCAAATCTGGCCAGTCACAATATTTATATCATATTTATTTAGGTCCGATACCAAATTGACAATATTGGCCCATTCCATCGGAACCTAATCCAATAGAGGGTTAACAATTTCAATAATCATAACGGAAAGTCAAAATATATTTAAATAATCGAACATTGCCAGAGGGTATACATCTGTCGGCAAACCCGACTGACTGATTTTTTAAAGGTTTTTTTATTTATTTATTTTTTTTTTTTTTTTGAAAAATTTCCGACTTTCTCTCACTCACAGCACATTTTCCATTGAAAGACATGACAACTCCATAATAGAAGATTTTTTTTATACTCTCCACCAAAGTATGGAGGGTATATTAAGTTTGTCATTCCATTTGTAACACCTCGAAGTATACATTTTAGACCCCGCAAAGTAAATATTCTTGATCAGCATAAATTTCTATGTCGATTTAGCGATGTCCGTCCGTCTGTGGAAATCACTCTAGCTTCCGTACGAATTGAAGTAGATTGATAAAATCTTACTTAAATGTATATTATGTCTGCAGGACTTTGGATATTGAAAATGGGCCATGTAGTTCCACGTCTTCGCATAAAACGGTACCTCCCGATATTCGGTATTTTGATGATTTTAGCCACATTATTTACCGGAACTATTTCAAATTTAGTATTTGAAGTTCGTAATGGATGCTACATCCTATGACAGAAAATTGTCTGTGCAGGTCCACGTCTTTGTATAGCCCCCATACAACGGTACCCCCCGATATTCGGTATTTTGAAGATTTTAGCGACATTATTTCACGGAATCGTTCCAAATTTGGTATTTGAAGTTCGTAATAGATACTGAAGCATAAAACTGTAAATCTGCCATGTTGGTCCACGTCTTCATATAGCCCCCATATAACGATACCTCCCGATATCGGTATTTTCATGGTTTTAGCGACATTATTTAACGGAATTGTTTCAAATTTCGCATTTGAAGTTCGTAATGGATACTACACTCTAAGACAGAAAATTGTTTGTGCAGGTCCACGTCTTCGTATAGCCCCCATATAACGGTACCCTCCCAATATTCGGTATTTTGATGATTTTGGCGTCATTATTCACCGGAATTGTTTTAAATTTGGTATTTGAAGTTCGAAATCGATACTACAGCCTAAGACAGAAAATGGTCTATGCAGCTCCACGTCTTCGTATAGCCCCCATATAACGGTACCTCCCGATATTCGGTATTTTGATAATTTTAGCGACATTATTCACCGGAATTGTTTCAAATTTGGTATTTGAAGTTCGTAATAGATACTACATCCTAAGTCAAAAAATGAACCATGTAGGTCCACGTCTTCGTATATCTCCCATAGAACGGTACCCCCGATATTCGTAATTTTCATGATTTTAGCGACATTTTTTACCGGAATTATTTCAAATTTAGTATTTAAAGTTCGTAATGGATACTAGATCCTGAGTCAAAAAATGAGACATGTAGGTCCACGTCTTCGTATAGCCCCCATATAACAGTACCACCCGATATTCGGTATTTTGATGATTTTAGCGACATTATCTAACGGAATCGTTCCAAATTTGGTATTTGAAGTTCGTAATGGATACCACATTCTATGTCAAAAAATGAGCCATGTAGGTCCACGTCTTCGTATAGCCCCCATACAAGGGTACCTCCCGATATTCGGTATTTTGATTATTTGAGCGATATTTTTCACCGGAATTGTTTCAAATTTGGTATTTGAAATTCGTAATGGATACTACAGCCTATGACAGAAAATTGTCTTTGCAGATCCACGTCTTCGTATAGCCCCCCTATAACGGTACCTCCCGATATTCGGTATTTTGATGATTTTAGCGACATTATAAACAGATTTTTCTTCAAGTTTCGCATTTAAATATTGTAATAACTTATGACAAAAGTTGCCTATGCAGGTACACGTCGCCGTAATAGGCATTCGGTATTTTTAAGATTATAACAGGATTTTTTTTTTTTTGAAAATTGCCAAATTTGTACCAAATGGTGGAGGTTATTTAAAGTTCGGCCCGGCCGCACTTAAAGCTTTTTTAATTTTTTTTTTTTTTTTTTTTTTTTTTTTTTTTGTACAATTTCCCACTGTCAGTCACTTTCATTTTCATGGCCCCATTTTCCATTGAAAGACTTGAAAACCCCATATTTGAATAATTTTTTTAATTTCTCATGTACGATTGTTAATTAAAAAAAAATTGGTAATTGTCC